ACAGGAGCGAGTGGTGTGGCCATATGGAGTGACCGGGTCAAGCCCCATGTCTGTCCCTCACTCAGGCAACACCAGGGCCTGCTTTGGGCTCAAGGGAGATGAACGGGTCCCTCATGCTTCTTTTAGGTGAAGGATCCTACTTCATCATCACAGGAAGTGAGAAATGGACTTAGTCACTTAATAAATTATTTGTTGAGTATGTACTATATGCCAGGCTCCTACCTACAAGGAGAATTTACACAATGTTTCACATTAAAAGTTGAATTTCAAATTTCATTTCCTTTTGTTTTAGTTCCAGTGAGTCTTGGGTATGCTACTTTTCAGTGGGACAATAGCATCCTGGATTGAGGAGGTCCGAGGTGGTTTTCTTGTGGAGCCGTGATTCTGGTTTTTGCTTAAACTCAATCTGCTCTGTTAACCATGGCCAGTATCACAGAGTAAGGAATAAAATTCTGTATCTTTCTAATCTTTGCCCTTAAGAACCACAGATTCCATGTTAAAAATATACCAGATAGCCTGAGCAAGAGCGAGACCCCACCTCTATGAGAAAATAGAAAAATTAGCCAGGCATGGTGACATGCACCTCCAATCTTAGCTACTCAAGAGGCAGGAGGACTTAGCTACTCAAGAGGCAGGCTCCTTGCCTGAGCCCAGGAGTTTGAGGTTGCAGTGAGCTATGATGATGCCACTGCATTCTAGCTTGGGAGACAGAGTGAGACCCTGTCTCCAAAAAAAATTTTTTTTTTAATATACCAGATAGAAAATGAAAAAGGAAAAGGAAACAGAAAAAAATTGGGAATGTTCTTCACCAGAAAAGCAGAAATTCTCTAAAGTAAAGTGAGGCACTGCTCACAGTCATCATTGGGGCGTCCACACCCCTCCCCTCCTGGGCTCCACGACAACACTCTTCCCCACAGACACTTGCCTATGGGCCCTGTCCCTGGAAGAACGCGTCTCCCACCCAAGCTCCGGGGCAGCTTCTGGCTGACTCCTGGAGGTTTCACTGAGACCCTCAGTTTTCCCCCAAACTGCCTCTCCGTGTTCCTATAGAGACTGGTGCCTGGCCAGAGATTCACTCGCTCTCTTGCCCCTACCCCTTAGTGCATTTATCCAACTGAGTTCAATGCAGGCTGGGTCACAACCTCTGAATGACCAGCCCATCCAGGCAAAAGTCCCCTAGTTCTTACAATAAAGACACCTGGTGTAAGGGCGACTTGACTAAATGTTTCTGGACAATTTTTAGCTCCAGGTCAAACACCCGCTGGTTACAAAAAGAAGGATGCCGAACTGGCTGAAACAAGATTAAACTAAATCCATTTGTCTGAATCAAGTAAGATGACAAACAATACGGAAAATGGCCCTGAGACCTGGGAAATGCGTCCAAATTATGTCCTAGATCATCCAGTCCCTTATCTCTCTCGACTGAAACAAAATGACCCACTCAAGACTTTCGCCGCCGCTGGGGGCCCGGCTCTGGCCAGCTGGGGCATCTCTGTGGCTCTGGAGGTTGGCGCTGGTGCAGAGATGACAGGGACTCGGCCGAGCGGCAGGAAGCATGCAGGTTGGGAGATGTCCGCTGCTGATTTGAGGGCAGCTGTAGTTTTCCTGAGGTTGAGGGTAAAGCTATAGATTTTAGCCTCCAGGACATTTAAGGAATGACAGGCCCATCTTGAACCCGGACTCCAAAGGGCCCCTGAGACCTGCAGCTTTCCTCTCTGGTGTTTTGTTCTGTTCAAGGTCTCAGCAGTTCTTTCTTGTGGGCTAGAGTTCATGCCAAGGAGACACCTTTAATGCCCTATCTACTTTCCCCAACATTTACATCTGATCTTCCTTTTGGGTAGGGCTGGTCTTTTCAGAAGTTCCATTAGGAAGTGTAAAATTTGTGGAATTTATGTTCATTGACAACAAAGTGCTTGGCTGTTCCTAAACCCAAAGAAGCTGCGTTGTTGCCACCTGCTGGTATTCGTCACCTCTGACTTACATATCGCGGAAAAGCACTTGGGACCCAGTGGTAGCAACCCCAGGCAGTGCAGTCCTGGTGGTTGGAAGTTTGCTGCCACTGAGATTTCATCGCTTGTGAGAAATGTATAAATGATATGAAAACTTAGCAACTAAAAGTGTACCAGTCTCTCCACCATAGACTATTGAGAAGGTCTTCATGTTCCCCAGCCTAGACTAGGAGTGTTTCAGATGAGGAAACTGAGGCAGAGATTAAATAATCCCCTAGGGCAAGGCAGGGCAGGGCAGGCCAGACCTTCCTTTTGAACCCAAGTCTGTCTGATGACAAAGCTCTAGCTCTTCCCAGGATACAACCTGTCTCTAAATACAGTGCTAGGCCAAAGGACGTGCTCAAAATGTTAACTTGAATTTGAGGGGGAAACAGGATGGATATAGATGAAGCGCAACGGTGGCATTTTTCCAGCAGGTGGGAAGAAGAAACAGCAGTGGTGTTACCACCCGAGGCTGTCTAGCCCAGGACTTCCCAAACACTAATGTGAACAACAAAGAAGACTAAATAAATAATAGAAGATAAGGAGATTTCCAGTAAAAAATTTAAAAATCTTTTAGAAAGGTGGTAACAAAACAAAGAAATCTATCATGCATAGAATCACCTGGGCAGCTCAGTAAAGCGCAGATTTTGTCTCAGCAATCATGAGGAGGGGCCTGAGATTCCACATGTTTTATTTAACACACTTCCAGGTGGTGTAGACACTGCTGGTCTGCAGACCGTATTTGTGGTTCCCGGACGGGGGCAATGTGCCCTCCCCTGGACATCTGGAGACATTTCCAGTGTCACTGTGGGGAACAGTGCTATTCATCTAGTAAACGGAGCCCAGGCCCGGATGTTGCCCAACACCCGACTGTGCACAGCAGCCTCCAAGTGTCAATTGCACGGGGCGGGCGATCCAGCCCCAGACCTCACCTTGCATGACTTGGGCCTAGCTGCCGGAAGAAGCCCAGGTTCTCCGACCTGGAGTTTGCTGAGAAATAGGCGTGAACTAGGTCCTTTTGCTTGTGAAAGAAAAAAAATACACACTTAGAAATCTCCCTCCCATGTTTCCGAAGCAAAGGAAGGGTTAAGGGCCTTTTGAGCTGCAAAGAGCTCTGTCTATATTAAACTCCTCCAGACTAGGGCTCGGTCTGCCCAGTAGACTTGGCTATGCTTTTCTTCTTATCTCGTGCAGGACCAAAACAACAACAAAAAGACCCTTGGGGGATTTATCCCCCAAGACATCTTGATGATAGATCTATTATTGTATACCAGGGACAGGGATCAGCAAACTTTTTCTATAAAGGGTCAGATAGTAAACAGTTTAGGCTTTGCAGGTTATACAGTCTCTGTCGCAACTACTCAACACTGCCATTGTAGCACAAAAGCAGCCAGAGAAAATAGTAAACCAGTGGGTATGGCCATGTTCCATTGACACTTTATATTATAAAAATGGGCCCCAGGTCAGATGGGCCATGGGCAGTAGTTTGCTGACCTCAGGTCTAGGCACTCAAGTGAATCTTGGGGTCAGCTGTAGATGCCATGTTAGCGGTGACATGCAGCTGCCTTCTCTATGTGGCCCCCATTTATTCTATGGGGCTGGGGAGAGAGCAGGGAATGTATTACAACCGGCTGCTAAACCCCCACTGCCTAGAAAAAATAAATGGTTTCCCAGCCTGACCCAATGACTGAAAACAGCCATCATACCAAAATCCAATAGTTCTATTTTCTCCCTCTGAAGTTGACTTCACTACAGGTTCTCTAATTTATCACCAAGTATTAACTACCTAAGATGTACTTAGCATTGCTGGGAGCCGAGAGGATTTTTAAAAAAAGTCACAATCTACGTTCTTAAGGCATTTTCTTAGTGCTATTATGGTGCAAAGACATAGACACACAATCACAGAAAATTCAAACATCCATGGAGAGATTATTCAGTAAATGCATGCATGACAATTGGTTAGGCATTTGGAAAAAATATGGAAACTGGGTCCTTTTTTTGTTACCAAAATAAATTCCAGTTGGTTCAAATACTTAAGCACAAACATAATGTAAGCATGGTGTGAAAAGTATATATAGGATGAGCATATATTTTTTTATAATCTTGGATTTGAGTCTATTCAAAAACATGAACTTCAGAAACCACAAAGGAAACCACATAAAAATACAAAGCATCTATTAATACATGAGAAAATCTACCTTAAACAAGATCAAAAGGAACTGGGTTAGAATAATAATTATTATTATATTTTTTTTGAGACAGAGCCTCACTCTGTTGCCCAGGTTAGAGTGCCATGGCATCAGCCTAGCTCACAGCAACCTCAAACTCCTGGGCTTAAGCGATCCTTCTGCCTCAGCCTCCCAAGTAGCTGGGACTACAAGGCATGCACCACCATGCCTGGCTAATTTTTTTCTATATATTTTTAGTTGGCCAATTCATTTCTTTCTATTTTGAGATGGGGTCTCACTCTTGCTCAGGCTGATTTTGAACTCCTGACCTTGAGTGATCCACCTGCCTCGGCCTCCCAGAGTGCTAAGATTACAGGTGTGGGCCACCACACCTGGCTGGGTTATTATTTTTAATATACATGGCATGCAATGAGTTAAATAATCAACAATAATCCATAAAAAATTACAAATAACCTAAAAGAAAAGTGGTCATAATTCACAAAAGTACAAATCACCCAATTTTTAAAGTATCTGAGTAGATGGAAAAAAAAGAAAAAGGCAAAAAATCAAGACTAAAAACAATTGAAGGCCAGGTCAGTGGCTCACACCTGTAATTCTACCATTTTGGGAGGCTAAAGAGGGATGACACTTTAGGCCAGGAGTTTGAGACCAGCTTGAGCAAGATCTTGCCTCTACAAAAAATTTAAAAATTAGCTGGGCATGGTGGTGCACACACCTGTAGTCCCAGCTACTCAGGAGGCTGAGGTAGGAGGACCACTTGAGCCTGGGAGTTTGAGGCTGCAGTGAGCCACAATGATGCCACTGCACTCTAGCTTGGGAGACAGTGAGAACTTGCCTCAAAAAAAATAAAAACAGAAGATTGAAATCCATCACCAATCGGCACTTCAGCTTCTGTCCTGGTTTCTTGGGCCACATGTTCTCCAGCTGCTCCTTGCAAGCATGCTGCCCCTGGAGCCCAGCCATCCTTCCGAGAGGCCACTGGGAGTCACGCCAGTCTTCAGTCCCAGCTGGGCCCGGGCTTGAGTCATCCCATCCCTGGCGCTGGACATGGGAATGAAGAAGCCTCCAGGTGATCCCAGCCGTCCCAGTCACTCTCGGCCTTTCGGGTCTCCCCTGCTGAGTCTCAGACACCACGGAGCAGAGACAAACTGTTGCCACTGTACATTTTCTGAAATCCCCTTAGCCATGGACTCCATGAGCATAAAAGACTGGTTGTTTCAGGCACTGAGATTTAGCTGGTTATGGAACCAGACCCACCCTAAGCAAGGCAGCTGAAGAGGCTGCTCTGAACCTCTGTGGTTAATGTACGAGGGGAAGCTGCATCGGGAAGGGTCTTGGAGACCAAACAGAGCACGAGAGCTCACCCAGCTACACACCCAGGCAAGGACCCTGTTCTTGCAGCGTAGTGACAGCCTTAGCTACTGTGAGCCAAGGAAGACCAAGCAAGTGGGGAAGACAGAAAGCAGGAGGAACAACACCAGAGTGTCCATGGCCAAAGACTCTCATCAAGTTCAAAGTCAATCCCAGGAAGCAGATGTATTTGATAAGAATACTCACTGATCAAGGCAAAGCAACAAGGACATATCTGGAGGATGTGTCTGGGAGACAAGGTGTTTGCTTGGTATATGGCAATGGTGACTTGAAGGATGAGAGTTGGAGGAAGCAACTGGAGTTGGCAAGTCAGGAAGGGAAAGGACAGCTGCAGACAGGAGAGAGGCCAGGCTGGCCCCAGGGAGTGAGCCCAGGAGACCTGCCAGGCCCAGCACGGCTAAGGGGCCTTAAGGAGATCGCACCTTCTCTGAGCCTCACCTTTTTCAACAAATGCTCTCTCTCCAACTAGAATGCCGCCTCTTTCCCGTCCTCTCCCTCCCCATCACTGGCTGCACCAAACCTGGAATCCTGTCTGTAAAACTCTTACACTTTAGGAGCTTCTGCTCAGCCACCGTTCCCTCTGCCTGGCATGTTCAACCTCCGCCACTGACTTCTTGTCATCACTCTGGTCCAGGTGAAAATAACTCCCTCTCTGCCCACCATGGAGGGTGGAGTCTATCTGCCAACCACTCTGGATCTTTTTCCCCCTTCCTCTTCTTTAATTGTACTTACAAGTATCTGAATATGGTCTTTCTTCTTTTGCTAGCATTAAAGTGGGCTCCATGAGGGTTGGGACCTTGCCTATCTTATTCAATGCTGTATTTTCAGGACCCCCAAACAGTGCTTAGCAGATAGTAAATGCCCAATGTATGTTTGCTTAATATGAACAAATAAAACTCCCTCCTGGACAAACTCTTATCCATACTTCAAAACCCAGCTCATGTTCAACTCCCTGTAAAATCTTTTGTGACCAACACCGTCCAAGCATGGCTGGAGCCCTTGCTCTTGTTGTACAGCTGCTGAAACCCCCCTCTATTAATGCATTCATGGAGCTCCACTGCACCCCTAGTTTACATCTGTCCCACTCAACACTGCAGCTCAGGGACCCAGTAGGCATCATTGAGTAGAGTCCCCCCTCGTTAGGGAACCTGGCGGAGGTCTAGGAGTGAGGCTTCTAAAATCCAAACTTTCTGACCTTGGGTCCTGGTAGCCCCTGTTGTGTGAATCTGGAAGATGTCCTTGGCCTTTCTGGGCCTCAGTTTCCTTATCTGTTACAGGGTAATAGTAGTCAGCCACAGGACTTTATGATGAGGAGCTAATGCACATAGGTTGCTTAGAACAAAGCTTGGCACGTAGTAAACGCTCCAGTGGTTTAAATGACTTTATGTTGAGAAGTTACCACTTTGGCACAAATATGTGTGACACCCACAGACGGAAAGGGAGCAAGAGGAAATAAGCGAGTAGAGTGAGCGCTGGAGAACTAGGGCAGTCTGTCTCGTGACACAGGTAAGGACACCTGAGCTGACCGTGTGGTTCCACAGAGATGAGCCTACAGGTTCTGTATGACCGAGCCAGGTATGGGACACCTGCCCACGTGCAGGGGTGACACTGACCCCTCAGGGGCCTGCCCACCTGCACCACAAAGGTGTTGTCTCCAGCTCATCTCGCAAAGCCATCACGCAAGCTAACCATTTCTTATTCACAAGAAAGTCATTATTTACAAAACTTGCGAGAGCATTTTTCCCTCCAGAAAACGCAAGCGCATGGAGCACAAAACCAGCAAAGCGGGAAGAACAACAGCTTTGCTGTCACTGAGGGGGTCCGGTCAGCCTGGGCAGCCCTGCTCCCCCGACACCTCCAATGTCCGCAGGGGAAAACCAGCCGATTCTGCCAGTGTCTGACGCAGGGGTCAGAGGACAAGTTCTTCCTGACAAGGGCTAGAGACGATTGCAGGGTCTGTCCCCGAGGAGGCCCCCATCCCGGGGGGCTGCGGACCCCATGCACCCGAACATCTCCTGGGAGGCGTAGGTCATGTACACAAAGCCATCCTCGTCCTTGTAGTCCCTGTAGATCTCCGCCATGGTCACGCTCATGCTGACCAGGCTCTTGTCGTTCACCAGCAGGTAAAAGGCCTCCGTGGCCCTCAGCACCATGCGGCTCCTGGGGTGGGGAGGAGGGCAGTGAGGGACCGGCCCGTGAGGCAGCCCAGGAATCTGCCGGGCCTCGGTGCTCCAGGGGCCTGACCGGCTCCCTCCTCCTTCCTTGGGGACTTAGAACCACAGGGCCTCCAGTTAACTAGCACACTCCATCGTTAACTAGGAGACGTGGCAACACAAAACTGCTAAGCAAATAAGCCCCAGAGGAGAGGAAGTCAGAATACTCTTAAATAACTCATTAAAAAAAAATAAAAAGCTGGGAGGCCGAGGCAGGCGGATTGCTCGAGGTCAGGAGTTCAAAACCAGCCTGAGCGAGACCCCATCTCTACTATAAATAGAAAGAGATTAATTGGCCAACTAATACATATATAGAAAAAATTAGCCGGGCATGGTGGCACATGCCTGTAGTCCCAGCTACTTGGGAGGCTGAGGCAGGAGGATCACTTGAGCCCAGGAGTTTGAGGTTGCTGTGAGCGAGGCTGACGCCACGGCACTCACTCTAGCCTGGGCAACAAAGTGAGACTCTGCCTCAAAAATTAAATAAATAAAAAACAAATGAGAAGATAAACATTCATTCATAGAGAATTCGCAGAGAAACAGTCTGCAACCGCTACGCAGGACTTTGCGGCCCTGTGAGATGTACCCACCGGGTCTCCTTGCTTTACTCCTAAATCATTTTTTATTGAATGCATATGTCAGGTGACTCCTCTTAACCCTCCTAAGCTGTAAAATAGCTACCTTTTCTTGGCGGTGCCTCTGCCTCCACCCAAGGGAGGAGTGTGTCTGGGGGGGCTTCCCTGTCTCTCCCTCAGTGTTCTGAGCAGGGAGCGGGTGTGTTTCTGACGAGGTCCCGCCCCAGGTGCACACACACACTCCGCAAAGCCACTGATCTCTGCTGGGGATGGACAGGCTAGGTTTCAGGCAGGACCTTCTGGACTAGTTTGTAGAGCTAAGACTACTTGCAAAAATTCTTAGAAACGTTGGCAGCGCTTGCTCTCTTTTGATTTGCTGCCTGAGGGGTTCTCCTCGGCCTGTTTAAAACAGTCATTCTAACAGTGGGCACTACAGAATCTAAAAGATGAGTCACAAAGAAAAGTCCCTTCCCTTTCCCTCCCTGGAATGCCCCTTTACACCCCCCCCCCAAAAAAAAAAACAAAAACCAGCAAACAAAGGAAATAGGACAAGCCCAGTACGCACAGCACACCTTCCTCCCCACGTGCCCCCGTCACCTACCGGATGATGCTGAGGAACTGGGTCATGGTCAGCTCCTGCGGGACCAGGAACTTGGTTTTGTCCAGCAGGGGCAGGAACTTCTCTCTGGGGTAGCGCTCCACTATCACCTGTCAAGAGTTTCGACCCTTAATAACGTGACTCAGAGTTTTCTCTGTCTTAGGAATAGAGAGAGGGAGGTTATTGGCTGGCTTTTTTTTTTTTTTTCTTTTTTTGTCCCCCATAGAACAGGATCCCAGGCCCCCACTAAGGAAATACAGCGGAGTCTTACCGGGATCTTGTTTGGGAACTTTGCCCGGATTCCAGCAACTTCCTCCTGTCTGGTTGCTGCATTTCAAGTACAAAAGAATAAACAGACAAGAAGAGAAAACTAAATCCTCTCCTCCCTCTCATGTCACCCAGAAAGCTACCCCAAGAAGTTTACCTAAGCTCTTCCTCTGCTTGAAAGGTCTGAGGCTTGGGATTTTCTGTGGAGGTGGCATTTTACTCAACAGCTGTGTCTGTCTTAAAAATTAAAAAAAAAAATCCCACAACCAGGACCTAACTCATTCCACCAGCTGCTTCAGACTGCCTGCAGGGGCCTAAAGCAGGCCCTTATGTAGGGCTGAGTGACATCAGGCCTCTCCCAACCCTCCCTTCTCCCCACTCCCCCTCCCTGGGCAGCAGGAGGTCAGTGCTGAGGATGGAATGGAATAGCCACCTGCTTGTTGGTCAGAGAAAGTCACTTTGCTCATGAGCAGTTCAAGATTGTTTTTGCTAAAGAAATCAGGGTTCGTCATAAAATCATTGGCCATGTAACAGAGGGAAGGGCCTGAAGAAGAAAAAAAAAAAAACCAAACATTTCTTTTGTCTCTTTAAAACTTCCCCCACTCTTATTGGGGCCTGCAGCCTGGCCTGCATCCCTGAGGCAGGTCAAGCCCTTTGTTTAAAGAGATAACTCCCAGGTGGCGCTAGCACCCCAGGTGGGTGGCAGGCAGAGATGGGATGATTAGAGTAACCACAACAGCCTAGAACTGAGGGCCCTCCCTTTGAAAGTTCTGCATTTCTGCCTATGTGCAGGGAATTTGGATTTGGAGATGAGAAGTTCTGCCATTTTTTCCTCCTTTGCCGGCAAAGTAATAAAAAAGTCTCTTTCCTCCTCCCCAAAACACTCGTTCTCATTCTTCTGATGTGGTCTTGAGGACAAGGGCTGAGTTTCTGGTAACAGCTGTGCACTCCAACAGCCTAGATCTGGGCCAAGGATTTTGGAGACATAAAAACTGCCTATGCTGAGGACGATTTTGTACTTCTGCAACAAACCGTGTTGAGGGAAGTCCAAGATGGATTCATTTCACCCTGAAATGTGGCTTATACTTCTCACAACAGTCCTTGTCGTTTTTCACAGCAAGAAACCTCTACTCAGAAAGGTTAAGTGACTTTGCCCAAGGTCACACAGCTAGTAAAAGAGGCAGTGGGGACTGAAGCCCAGAGGTGTTACAAGGTAGTACCGGTACTACACTCCGATACGTGCTAGGAAGAGGCAAGACGCAGCTCTACTGGTTCCCAGGGTCCAAGAGTGGCTTCCAGGTGCTTATGCCCAACCAGGTCGCCCTTCAGCCTCCGAGTAAGCAGAAGATTTATGTTTCCTGCATTGTTAACAGTATATACCATGGTTTCCCAGCAGTCATTTAAGAGTGAAGAATCTTGGAATGAATAAAGAATGGTATAGAAGAAGGAGATAGTGTGTTCTCCACATTTTCTGGTTCAATTGAAGAGTTTGGATCTCAAAGCTGATTGATCAGAGATGGACATCAGGTGATGAAATGATGGCTCACTGAAGAGACAAGTGGCCACATCCTCTTTCTTAAATAAGAGGGCACGCCCGCAGGTGTGATGGATAATAAGGAGCAGGTGTGCCGTGCCCTGTGGTCCAGCACCTTTCTAATCTGCAATCTCATTTAAATCTCCCTGGGTGCCTGGTGGGTGGGAAGGGCAGGTGGGATGTTTCCTTTGCAGAGGTAAAGGCCACTCAGCCAGAATGCACTGAGCTGGGATCCAACCCAGACTGTCCAAGTCCCAGGGGTAGGGCCAGACTCCAAGATCAGGCAAAGCAGGTTCCAGGCCTGACCCTCCTGCTTACTCACTTTAATTTATGATATTGGATAAATGACTTCACTTCACTAAGTATGGGATTTCTTTCTTTTTTTTAGAGGGCTTCTTGAAGGAAACTAAGTATGGTTTTGTTTTGTTTTTTTAAGACAGAGTCTCACTCTGTTGCCAGGGCTAGAGTGCTATGGCATCAGCCTAGCTCACAGCAACCTCAAACTCCTGGGCTCAAGCAATCCTCCTGCCTCAGCCTCCCTAGTAGCTGGGACTACAGACATGCGCCACCATGCTCGGCTAATTTTTTCTATATATTTTTAGTTGGCCAATTAATTTCTTTCCATTTTTAGTAGAGGCGGGGTCTGGCTCTTGCTCAGACTGGTTTTGAATTCCTGACCTTGATCAATCCACCCGCCTCGGCCTCCTAGAGTGCTAGGATTACAGGCGTGAGCCACCTCGCCCAGCCAAGTATGGTTTTTAATGGTTATGCTAATCCATAACTCAGAGTGGTTATGTGTGGCTTAAATGAGCTGGTTTATGTAAAGCAGGTAGCATACTGCTTGCCACCAAATCTGGTTCTCATATATGCACTTCCCCCATGTCCCCAAGCCATGCCTCTCCCAAGTCCCCACAATCCCAAGAAACATTACGTGCATTCAGGTGTGGAGGCTGAAGGCAGAGGTAGAAGGAAATAGCACTCAGCTGGGACCAGGAGAAAATAAATTCCGGCTGCAGCTTTGGTCAATCATTTACAAGGGCTTTGAGATGTTTCCTACCTGCCTTGCATTTGACTCTCTGAGCGGGGGTGTGGGGCTTGCTAGACCAGGCCGGCCTACCTCTCAGGGTATAATGGAGATGAGGGGTTACAGAATAAAGCACTTGAAAAGAGATGAAATGCAGCAATACTCACAGAATGCATCATCATTCAGGCAGAGGAACGAGCAGACTATTGTTTCTTTTGTTGAAAGGTGTCTTTTGAGGAGAGTGGGGTGTCTGGGTTGCTGTGTGACTCCATCATGCCCCTGGCGGTGGGGGCCTTTGGACGAGGAGGGGACCAAAGCCACACAATATTGATGCTGTATGGATCTCGAGGAAGACAGCAGGAACAGCTCTGTGCAAAATGACTGGAATAAGAGTGCCCTCCCTTAACCCGCAGCTCCTGATACAAGCGAAAAACTGACTCTGCTCGATGTACACCAAACAAGCGCGGTAGGAAATATTATGCTTTGCAGAGCTTTATCTGTGCTGCAGACAAAGCGTGTCAAACGAGAGCTGGCTCAGGTCATTTTGATTTCCACTGACCCACACTCTCACTCTACCCAGTCCCACCTCTGTCTTCGCAGACCCAAGCACCGGCGATGTGAAAGAGGTGGCAGAGAGTGGGACGCTAGAAACAGGGATTAGGGAGGAAGTATTCCTTTCTGCCTACCAACGTGCTCAAACCTCCCTATTCTTAAAATAATAACCAGTTAACCCTCCCTTGACTGTACTAGCCATTTAACTGTCATAGAAAGAACTCTGGAAGCAGACTTGGGCTCTAACTCTTGCTTACCATTAAGCTAACTTCTTTGAAACTCATTATTCTTTAGCAGAGTGGATATGCTTTCACTCATGTCATGGAGCTGTCAGAGGGTAAAGTGTGGAAATCTATGTGATGCACACACACAGATGGGATGGCCCGGCTGGGAGGCCTCACGCCCGTGCAGCTCGGAGCCCGGCCCACTCTGCGCACGCTTCCTGGAGCCTTTGCAAACGGTTGTCCCAGCTCACTCTTTCCGCTTAGCTCACTGCCTCTCCGCGCCTTCAACTCCTGCGAACTGGAGTCTGTCCCAACACTCCAGCAATGCTCCTGCGAGGTCAGTAATATACACACGAGCACCTCTTTTCAAAGTCCTTATCTTATATGATCTTAGATCCTTCGACATTTGCAATTGACCATCTGCAAACTTTGTTTTGGATTCCAGGGTGACGCGTTCTTCAGGTTCTCCTCCCCCTCCCCTGACCTTCCTTCTCAGCCCCGGCTGCCTCTTCCTCATTCCCAGAGCCACGACCCCCAAGACAGCCCAGTTTCAAAACTGACATCTGACATGTGCAATGAAGACATGTCCTCACTCTTCTGAAATGTGCATAGAAACCTTCACAAAGCTCCTCCGCATTTTCCTCTGCAGCGTGCAATCTTGTGTAAAAGCTGCAGACTGGATATGCAAACGGAATCGAAGATGAGGTTCTTAGAGGATCATTTCTTCCAGCCCCGTCGCTGCCCCCATCCTTGCTGAGTCCAGATTTCAGAACTGTGAGCGCCTCTTCTCCTGCCTCTTGATGATGGCACCATCCCAGTTCCCCCCCTTCCCCCATCCTCTTTTTGCTCTCCTGGGATGATTATAACCATTCCCGAGGAGTTTCCTAAGGTGACTCAGTTTTTGCAATGTGATTAAAAATAGGCCTGCCTCTTGGCAAGTGTGGGTGTTTGGGGCCGAGGGAGTGACTCGGATAGATCAGTTTTGCTCCCCGTGGCTGCTGTCATTCATCCTTCCTGGCTACAAGCTCTGATTATAGTGGGGAGCAAGTTTGGAAAGTTCTAACAATGTGGAAGTGAAGTGTGTGCATCCAAAATAAGAAGCAGCTGCCATTGAGGGCTAAGTAGAAGGAAGACTTCATCAATGTGTCCATTTGATAGAAGAAAGAGCATCTCAAGGCTACTATAGGATGTTGCCTGACCCTTAAACCCTCCCTGGTCCTTGTGGCTTCTCAGAGTGGGGGAGACTCGAGATGCATGACAAAGGATGATCCTATTGTTACAGAGATGCCCTAAAACCTCCAGGCCTACATCAGACTCTCAGGATGGGAAATGTAATGCTCACAAGTTCAAGGTCAAAAGCTGAAACTCAGGCTGGGCGCGGTGGCTCACGCCTGTAATCCTAGCACTTTGGGAGGCTGCGGTGGAAGGACTGCTTGAGGCCAGGAGTTCCAGACCAGCCGGAGCAAGAGCGAGGCCCCACCCATCTCTACAAAGAATACAAAAATTAGCTAGGTGTGGTGTAGGCTGAGGCAGGAGGATCCCTTGAGCCCAGAGTTTGAGGTTGCAGGGAGCTATAATGATGCCACTACATCCTAGTCCAGGTGACAGAGCAAGACCCTGTCTCAAAAAAAAAAAAAGAAAGAAAAGAAATTCAAACTTTATTTCATTCCATTTTATTTTTTGCTTTTATCACCAAGTGTATTTTAAGAATTTACTTACCAATAAGACAATAGGACTTGCTTATCTGATCAACATAGGAGGAATACATTTTATTTAAGAGTCAGATCATCAACGGAAATAAATGATTCTGGTTCCCAGTCCCAAATGAGCCACTGAATTAAGAAGTCACTTGAGCTCACAGTCTGTTCAGTTAACTTGTGAAATTATTTCAGTGCTGGCAATTTTGCTATCGCACCCCAAGGCAGGATACATGAAATACGTAATA